CATCTTGTGTTTTCCCTTAAGTATTACATAAGCAAGAGTTATGGTTGCAGTGGGATGTGAGATGATGAACAGACTGATAATCTGTACAGCACAATGCAGGTTTTTAAAATCTGACCTCCTGGTTCAGGTTGATTGTATAAGTAACTGTTTTTTCTATGAAGCTGTATGGATGACATCTCAAGAAGTAAATTATTTGGCACGGAGATACCCCTTGTACAGCAAATGGGTTCTATCAAGGAACTGCAATGTGGCTTAAATGCTTTCAAGTCCTAGCAAAAGTTTACTGCTCTAGCAGATCCCTGACATGGGTTCTGAGACTAACAGGATTTAGTGATAGGAGAAAAGTGTGCTGGATATCTTAACTTTCCTGAATCTTTGTGGAAGGGCAAGAATCCTTTAAGTGATTGTCATGGACTGAACATTGTGACTCCTTACATAATGCTTGAAAGATGGTGGTCATCTGAAATCCTCTACCAGTTTTAGATGTCCACGTGGTTGGAAAGACATCTCATTTCCTTCTGATATGGGAGAGTTCTAGGGAGGCTGAATATTAATTTCAGTGATTCAGATTAAGATGTAGTTGGAGATAAGTTTTGGTAACTGCTTTTAAAGATACTTCCTAGTCCTTTTCTATATTACTCTGCATATGCTCTTCTATGTGGTTTTGTTTGTTTATTTGCTGGGGTTTTTATAATTGTGGGTTGAACAAGATCTTCATCCTGCTGAAGGAGTGGTGGCTTGCTCACCTGCTGAGTGAGGCTGTGGAAAAATTCTGGAGAGAGGATCAATGAGTTTATGTGTATCCTGAGGCAAGTTTGATGAAAACATGGGACACTTCTTTCTCAGAAACACAGCACAGAGAGCCCAGAACTGCCCCCCTCCTTTTCACCCGTGGGGGCATAATCAGGGAAATCAATTACACCTGTAGTCAGAATGCCAGAGTGTTGCTGACACATCTCGTGCTGTGAAGCTGTGACTGTCAGCTACACGTCACATTCTCAAAATTTTAGCTGTTATCTGTATTCCAAAGATAAACTGCCTGTAAATGGAAAACTTTGTTCCAGTGTAAACTTTAGGAGTAATGCCTGGTAATTAGATTCTTGCAACTAGAGTAAGCAATGCAACTTGAGTAAGCAGTGCATCCAAGCACCTTGATGTTTTTCAGAAGGCCTTTGCCTTTTGGACTTTTATTTGGCAGCTATGACAAAAGAGCCAGCATGATTGCCTGTTTAAAAAAGCTCTAAACCCAAGATTCACTAACCCTACTCTCCTCCCAAAACCATAACATTAGCCCAGCCAATGTAAGTTCTGCAGGTGCCTAAAACCCCAAATATAAGCTGTTAAAGAAGTTGTGTCTGCAGAGCTCCCTTGGAAATGCTGCAGCATTCCTTGCTATGCCCGGGTGGTGCAAAGTCACTGGGTGGGCAGCTCATGCTGCTGCCTGTGAGGAGTCACACGTAGCACAGCCCTGCTCGTCCTGCCCATGGTGCTGAAGCTGCAGTGCAGGCACAAGGGAGGCTGTAGGGAGGCTGCTCCTTCTCTTTCAGTTTTGCCATGACCATCCTGCCCTCCTTCCTGCCCCATGAAAATAGAGGAGACGGGGGAGAGGCCGTAGGGACTAGGTCAAACTTCACACACAGTCCCTGTCACTGCTGCCTTCAAGCTCTCCCCATCTTTCGGCTTTGGCTGACAGGCTCTTAGCAGCTGTGGCTCCCATCTCCTCCTGTCCCTGGGACTGCTGCCAGGGTGGCTTCAGCTCTTTCAATTTGTTGCTGCTACCTGAGTCATGCCTCTGGAATGGAAGGCAGCTAAGGCACTATCCTCAAGATCCTCATCTGGATTGTCCTACTGGTTTTCTTCTCAAGGGTCCCACCTCTGGCCTCCTGGCTGCCCGTCTCAGGCCTAGGGAATTGCATGACTGTAGGTTTTGTACAAAGACATCATCCCTCTGACTCTGCCTGTTCAGATACAGGATGGAATTTCTAAAAGGTTGCTGTGCTCAGCAGTTCCCTGATAGCACAGCATGTGCCATGAGATTTGTGAAAGGATGCTCACACTACCTCAGATTTTGCACGGAGCTTCTGCCCTGCATTCAAAATACAGGGATGATTAATTTAATTTTACTGCAGAGGATGCAAAGGTGGGGTATGGAAACTATCCCTCTCTTCCCTTGGGAAAGTTCTGCCAGTGGTAGTAACAGATAAAAAGCTGCTGATTTGGAAAAAAATGTGTCTGGTGATACCATGTCAGAATTTTTAGTAAGAGACCAGACACTATAAGGAAAGAGGCCATTTCTTGAGATGTGTTTTAATTCTGGTGGAAGAGAATGCAGATCTAAACTCTCCCACATTTTCATTACAATTCCTCAGGGAACAGAAGATGGCACAGTTTCTGCTCTGTATAAAAGAAAACAAAGGGGAACAATGATTATATTGCACATTAGGGGAGTTGTATGATTTGCTCTCTTTTATTAATGAATAGATTTAGTACAGCTGAGACCTCACAGGAGCAGGGTCACAACATCTTTAACTCATCCTGCCACATATCTGAGGAAGTTTCTGAAATTGTGGCTGTACACATGTACACAATGCTGAGAGGTGCTGTAATGTGCTCAGTACAGGGGAAACACTTTCAGAAGATTTTTTTTTTTTTTTTTGTAGTGAGGGTGGTGAAACTGGCACAGGTTGCCCAGAAAGGTGGTAGATTCCCCATCCCTGGAAACAAGGTCAGTATGGATGGAGCTCTGAGCAGCCTGGTCTAGCTGAGGATGTCTCTGCTCATTGCAGGCAGGCTGTGGACTATCAGCTTGTGAAAACTATCTGTTGTTACAAACATAAGAAAATTTATCTCAGACACATAACTTAAAACATTCTTCCCATTTCACAGAGGAGAAAGAAATAGTAAGGATAGAGAATGTTGTGCAATGATGCAAAAATATGAAGAAGAAACACTTTGCCTGAATTGGGTGATTAAAAGCATTTTTACTGATGAAAAATATTTATATTAAAAACTTGTGGGAAATTATGTAGCATATGAGTAAGATCCTTCAAAGTATAGCTGAGACTGAAATGTCTTTGAAAAGGCAACAAACACACACTCTCTTTACAGAGCATTTACACCTTCAATTTTACAAAATAGCCATATTTCCTAAATGCTGCTCTGAAATGCCTGATTAAAAAGGACAGTGAACCACAGTATCCCATCAGCAGCAGTTTATCACATCCAATTTAGATGTCGTTATAACAGGAGTGTGAGACAATAAAGAACAGTGTAAGAGCAGTAAAAGGAGCTTGTAGTTGATAATGGATACAATATATATTCCATAATACCAAAATGAAGATAAAAGTTTTAAATTAAATCAAACAGTTCCATAAATGAGTAATAAACACATCTACGATAGCACATGTGTGCTCTTCTGTCCAGTTGCCTCCTGGAAGGAATGGAGTGACTTGAGACTGCAATTTACAGGATTTTCTGTAGAATGGAGTTTGCAACTTCCAGGGATTCATCTTTCACCAAGACGATATCATAAGAGTCCATGTATTTTTCCAACAGCTCATCCACCTAATTACAAAAGGGATAAAGAGAAAGACTCCCTTAGTTAGAGAATTATTTATTGAAAGAGTTTTTTGTCATTATAATATTGCCCAATCTTTCCACCAAATTCTGGGAATAAGCCATGCAAATAATGTATTACTCCTACAAGTGAATTCCACAGAAGGACAGAGTAGGAGTGGCCTGACCTAAAGTGCATTCCAGAATATAATACCTCATGTTTATTCCAGGATCTCACACACAGATACTGAAAGAAGAACTACTTATGTAAGGGCAGGGAGAAATATAAAACTGACATTTTCTCTCTCATCAATGCAAATGGATATTCATTATAACTTAGCGAATAATCAGTTGAGTGTCACTTAAAAACCCCAAGAAGTAAAAATAAAAGAGGAGAGACTGCCTGGACTTGTTATTTGTGAGATTATAAATTTTCTCAATTATCAATTTAGTACTAAAAGGAGGAGAAGCCACAGGAATTAAAGAGAACTAATTTTTATAGCCTCTGAATTTAACTTCTCTAGGAAACACCCATTTGGAAGTATTTCTGTACAAAAACCAAGGCAATATATACTTGTGGCTCTGTGCTATGGGTTAGAAAAAAAACCTTTGAAAAATGCTTGAAATGTCAACCCAAATAGGTTAAACACTTGGTTTGATATCTGAACCGCATTATAACAAACCTGTTTCTAACTCCCAGTGCTTCATTCAAACCTCACAAGGTTATGTAAGGCTACTTACCTTATCATTGAGATAGCCAATCTTAAGAATGTGCTCAACATTTGCTACTCCATCTGCCATACTCAAGTCTCCTTGAGAATCACCCAGCAGTATGATATTGCTGTTGTCTTTTAGCTGTTTGAAGTACTCTGTGTTCTTCAAGGCACCATCATGTTTGTTGTAAACATGAATCAATTCTCCTTTAAATCCTTTTAATATTCCCTATTGAAAAAAGCAACACTGAAGTTATTTCTGGTACCATTCAGGCAGGACAGAATCTAGAATGAAAGAGGTGATGTTACTGTTGAGCCAAGACTGAACTACATAATCTGTCATGATGGACAAGATTAATTAGTTTAGAGTAATGTAATGGCTGTGACAGCACAGTTAAGAGCAGGCACAGTGATTTTCCCTGCTTGAAAGAGTGTATAGATCTATCTCTATATACCTCTCTATATATATCTAAATATATCTATTTTGTAGTGTGTATAAATAGATACTAAATACCACAGACTGTGGTATTTATCAAACATGTTTGATAAGAATCTGTTATCTCATACATACATTTTCATCGAAATCCATGAAATTGGAAACCACTTTGACATTAGAATGGTAGACCCCAGCTTGGTGGATTACTTCTTCAAGAATGTCACCAATCCCAGCAGAAAATATGAACACAGGAATATTATGTTCACTGAGCTTATCAAAGAAGTTCTCATACCCTTCTCTGCAACACAGAATGAAAGTAAAAATCAAATCTCAAGTAAAGCCAAGAAATGTCTCTGTTTTTAGGAGACAATCACATCATCTGTGGAAAATAAATAATATTTCCTGAGACTTTACTGCATTTCTTTTACTTCACCTTTTCAGGTCAGCAAGAAGCATCAACCTAACACAAGGCATGTTTGCAAGAAACATCTGCATCAAGCTGTTTAGTCTTGGTCTGCATAATTTTTCCCCCCAAAACATCTAATCATGTTTTAAAGATTTAAAAACACTTCCCCCCTCCCTAAGTACTCCAGAACAAAGCAACTAGCAGAACTCACTGACCTACTATCAGGCTGTAAATCTCCTTTCAATCTTCCTCACTTAAATATGTGACATTCTATAGTCATTACTATAAAAGAAATTCTGTTTTTAAATCTTGAAAACATTTATTGTTGCTTTCTCCTGAAAGTTTTTTAGTATTCAGTACCCCATGTATAGCGTTCCAGGAACAAGATAATATCATCTCTATATGCTTTCTTCATACAGAGATAGATTGGTAGAATTTTACATTTTAAAAAAGTATTGTGAAAGTTCTGGAAAAAATTTTAGCTTGTGGATGAACATTCAGTCAACATGGACTTAGGCTTTTAAACAGGCAGAGATTGCGTGCTTGTCTGTTGTACAAAAAATAAGGATTCAGCGAGTGTTATAAGCAAATACTTTCACAATTTAAGTTCTAACATCCTGTTTCAGTATTCCAAAATTTACAGTTTTAGAGGGCTTTCAAAGAGATGAAAGCCACAGCACATTTTGAACAAGGATTTTAAACTTGTCTTCAGTCACAGAGGAAGAACAATATTTAATACAACATATGAAACATGTTCTTCAAGTGCTTCTCAAAGGAATTAAGTTACACTTTACACTGCTCTTAAAAAAAAGGATCACCAGTGCAATTTAAAGAAGATGAAAGTCTACAGAAATTAAGCTTGTAGAGAAGGGACCAAAAAAAGTTCCAGATCTCTGCTTTATACAGTGAGATTATAGTCTACATTTAGATATAGCACACCAATTAAGTGGGAGCTCAATGTGGTCCAGGGTTAAGGTGTCTCATTCTCAGAAAAATGTGTGGGTTTCTTAATTTCTCTTTTCTTTTTTTTTCCTCCCCCCAACACTCAGGAAGAATCTACAGAAAATGCTTTGAACCATTGATATAATTCAAATCAAAAAGAACTTACTTCAGCATAACATCGGATTCCCTTACAATTTCTGCAAACTTGTCCTTCTGTAAGCCTTGTTCAATGAGTAGTGCATGAGATTTATGGTACCTAGAACATAAATTAAAAAAATGGGTTGAATGTTGCTTACTAAGGTTCCCCTTTCATTAAATTTCATGATGAAAAGCATCCTGTATGGTTAATTCTTACTTATTCAGGTTAAGAGCAAAACAAAACCAGTTGTACAAAACTTTAAGAGATTAATTCAGTTACTGTGACAGCTAAAAGCTAAGTACTGCCATTAATTTGCTTTTAAAAACTTACTAAATCTAATATGAATACAATCTGAAACTAGGAGGAGTCTCTTACCATTCTACCATATATGGGTATTTCTCTTCAATGGTGAGAGCTGGATCAATTTCAATGGCATAGTAAGTTTCTTTCAGCTGCAATAACTGAAGGGAAAAAAAAAACATCCTATGTTTAATGTTTTTCATAAAATACACTGGTGTTTGGTCTAAGCAATCAAAATAAAATTCTTGTCAGGGAATAATGACAGATGTCTGTACAACAAACCAAATGCTTGTAGGTTTTTTGTTTACCTTTTTCCGACATTCATCTGTGATGATCTTAGAGTTATCAATGATGTCTGGGAAAGAGGTGAAAAAAAAGACAGTTAAACAAGATAATGCATTTCTTCTACTTTTCTCTACAACACTGTAAATGGCACAGATGACAATGTCTGGTGACATACCAATATGCTTCCTCAGAACTTTTCTTACCAGCAACAGCAAAAAGCACATTTTTCTTCCTAAGTATAAAGATGCCCTTTCCTTCATCTCTGATTTTACAGATATTGATCTGTTACAAGTTTTTGTATCTTTTTATTGAGATTTAATTATTTTCAAAATCATTATGAGGCATCCTATATGTTTTACAGCTCATACTTCTCGTTTGTTCCAAAATACTATGGCATATGGATAAAATTGCCAAGAATTCTAAGGAGTTTACAGTCTGGTTCTTGCAGGTGTCAGGACTATGATGGGCTCTTGAAAAACAAAAGTCAGCCATACCATATTTAGCCACTAACATCTGAGAGTTCAAAACTTAATGCTTTAATTGTGAATGGCAACTTATTTAATTCACACCGATTTTGATTAATATGTATATACACACACATAAAAACAGTCACTAGAATACTTTGTCAGTAGAATGTACAGATTAGGTAACAAGTCAATATAAATCTCATTAGGAAATAAATTGAATAGAAAATTAAAATATAGGGAAAACTAAAAGGAGCAAACAAATCAATCTGTATTAAAAAAAAAAAGTACTCACTATGACAAGTTGGACATCTTTTTCCATTGTAGGAAAATCTACTTAATGTCATATCAAAATCTGTAATAATCTATTTAAGGAAAGAAAAAGCAAAACTGTCTTACAACATGGAGGAACAAAATAAAGAATGGCTAGAAATTCTGAATGATCAACAATAGCTGCAGCTGAGTAGCATGTGTGTCACAGAAGCCTCCCTATTCTATTGAGCCATTGTCATGGAAGCTAGCATATCCCAGAATAGTAATGTTTTTTCTAACAAAACTGTTTTTTTCATTCCTTTGCTGAGAATATTTTCTGAAATTACTAAGCTTGTATGCTGAAGTAATTTACTTAACTAGTGTCTGGCTGAATTACAGTTGAATCAACAAAGACTATTAAAAGAGTTAACATGTCTAAGTTTTGGAGATTTTTTGTAGGTTGAATTCTATTACATATATATAGATATACTTAAATATTTTGGCATAGAGTAACAATCCTACAGTCGCTTTTATTCCAAACTCTTTGCACCTTTACCTGAAGTTTGGCAGCTCCACCTTTGATGAGACCACAAATAATCTCCTCTACTCTTGCTGGGTCCTTAATGTGGACAGTCTTCTTCTGAAATTCTGGCATCTATGAAGAGTAAGAACAAAGACATAAACACAGTTGCAGAGAAAACCTCCCAGGCAATAGCTGCTATCCATCAGCTTGGATTGGAAGCTCTGCATCTACAAAGTTTCATGTGCCATCAAGACATGGTCAGGACAGAAAGCAAGAGTAAGAAGAAGCAAAAGATACTCTGGATGTATTGATCAATTGCATACTGTTCCGTTTGCTTACAATATCTGCTTAAATTTCCTTTCCTATTATCATTTTATTCAATAAGCTGACACTCACAGAAAAGGTAATTTTATTTGTAGGAAAAAAGGGATATGTAGGAACAGGATATATGGGATCATCCTGTGATTCAGATATGGCACTAGGAGATGGTAAATCTTAAAACTAACTCTCTTTGCTATTAATATGCCCTTAAAGTATCAACAGAGTTAAAGAAGACGTCCACTGTTTCCTTGAGAATGCTGAATGAGTGTCAACTTAGTACTTCAATACAACAAGGCTGTGCAGTAATTCCTCCTTCCTAGCCAGTCCATCAGTTGCTACCATTACCTATTTCACTGCGCACTTTTAAAATAACATGATATCACACTATATATTCCTTTTGGTTTAAGTATATTTCTTGAATATTATGATAAATAAGGAATTTGGTGTAAAACAAGAAAAAACACCCAAAACCCACAAAACCCCATTCTTCCCCAAACAATTCCCCAAGCCTTTGTTTACTCTAAGAGTTTATCTTCAAACTTGCAGGATAGTAGAAGAACTATTTATTTACAGGAATTTCCCAATGTAGAATGGATTTTTTTCCTTTATAATCATGTATAGACCCATTCTAAAAAAAAGACATGGGACATTTGCAATCTGGCTAAACAGGCAGTTGTAAGCTTTATTTTTTTTTTATGAGTAGTAAGCTTTATTTTCTGTTCATAAAACTTCAGAGATGATAAAGTGTTAGGAATTACATTTTTAACATTCTGATTCTTCAACTTTCATTTCTTACAGCTAGTAATCTGTGCTGCAATGAGCTAATTAAAAAACAAAAAAAAAAGGTGTGGGGGGGAGTTTCTATTTCATGAAGTTTCTGGACCCAGAGTTCTCATATTGTCAGTACGTCATGCAGAACTCTTTCTTGCAGCTCTTGATGCTAGTAAGTCTTTTCTTCATTAGTAACAGCCAGCTTGAAGTCAAATTGCAATTTGGTTATCACATAAGAAACAGGTATCATTTTAAAGTATTGCAAACATATGTTTTTGTAAGGGAAAAGACACTTGTGTGCCAGACACAAGGAGGATCTGGACATACCTTGAAATATCAGCTCCAGTCCACTCTGTTCTCAGGTGGGAGCAAAACATTACAGCTACATTCTTATCAGATGAGCAGAGGCTCATCTAACTCATTCTTCAAGACCCCCACTCACATATTCCTCAACTACCTGTACGTTTAGAAAAGTTTGCTTAATGTCTAATCTTTCTTACTATAATTTTAAGTCATTCAGCTAGGAGAAAAGTGTTCTTTTTCTCAGACGCTGACTGGATAAATTTTTCCCTTCTGCCTGAATGTAAAATGCCAGTGTTCTTCAATCTTCTTTTGCAGAACACAATTTTCTAAATCTCTGATAATTCTTGATGTTGTCTTGGCCCACCCACTTGAACCACATTGTTTTTCCAACACAGCATCCATGACTGTGGGTAAAACCTTTCTGCTCTGCTCTGACAAGGCCTTGGCTGAAGGGCCACTTTGGCCCTTGTCTTCAGATAGCATCTTTGCATGTACATTAAAATACGTGCCCTGTGTAAGCAGTAATATGGTGAGAACCACTCAGAAACAGTTGGTAGTGACCAAATATTCTTCAAAATGACTCCTAGAAAGAAACAGGTATTTGTGCAAAGTGTTAAATTTTACGTTTAATCTTTCTGGATTGTATCTTTTCTTCCATGTCAGTGCTCCTATCTTTCAGTAAAACAAGTAATTCTAAATCCCCACTGTGCTTACTGCTGCTTTCTGGCTGATATCCTCCAAGACACTGCTGAAAACCGAAACCAGAAATCTTTCTAGAACCCTAATCATGAGTCTCTTATAAATTTCCAAGTTTTTCTCCCCATTCAAACAAGCTTCACCTATACCACAGCATCTTGTCAAAAATTCTGTCCTGAACAGGGTATTCACTACTTCTTTGCTTTATAAATCTCATAAAGAAACAAACTCTATTAATTCCACTTCAATTGGAAGAATTAAGGTTTTCCTTTCTGATCCTTTGGCAAAGACATTTTCTGTTAAAGTGGTATCTCCTAAGCCAATATCCCTGAGTTCCTTGTGTTGTTGCAGTGCCTTGCTACTACTTCTTTTAGCACAGCAAAGCCAAAAAAAGTACATCAGGATTGACTTTCAGCTCTCAGCTATTTCCCAGGCTCGGAGTAAATGAGAAAGCTAATGAGTGCTGACAAGAAATAGAATTCCTGAAAAATATCCATTAAAGAATTCACTAAATTGAGACATACCTTTACAAAGCATTTCTTTATTCACAATTAACAGCACACCTAGCTTCACAAAACAAAATATGTATCTGTAATATCTGTAACTCTTTAAAGGTGCTTTATGGTATTTCTTTTGTATGTTATATGGTGCTGGTAAACAAAAGTAAGCTTTCCACTTTTTTCTGCATTTACAATATTCTTTATAATGAAGCACAAAGCACTTTGACTTGGTAATTTTTGTACTGTAAATTGACTTGGTTTGGCAATTTTTATACTGTAAATTGACTAATTCCTTTAACTTTCAGCAAATTATATATGTATTTTTAGATTGAGAATGCAAACATTAAACAGTGAAATCTGAATGCATACTTTTAAAAGAAATAGTTCAAGCATTATTTGGTTTACTTAGATACTAAGCAACAGATTTCTTAATATAATTAATTTAAACAGATGTTGAGGTAGATGGAGAGATCAAAGAAAGGGACTGGATGAGGAAAATTGGATTGTTTGGTCCTGTTTTATTTCAGACTGAGTCCTTTCGTAAGTTTCTGAAACAACCTGAGGAAAAATCTTGGTAAACACTTTACTAGATTATGTCAAACAAGAAACTGCTAAAGATTTTAACTATGATGAAAGCTTCCTGCTTTGATGTTGCAAACTCATACTCAAGATCAGTTCATAAGATTACTTGATTTCTAATACACTTTTCATTTTTTCACACAAATTGGTTGAAGAG